TAAAACTGCTTCCACATTATTGAATTATTAATGGAAAAAGTTGTTTTATTTCCCCTTGAAAGAGACGATAGGGTTGGGGAGGTGATGGGAGAACCCCTGATGGGTAATGACTGAGTCATGTTGGGGTAAAAGCTCTGGGAGCAAATCTGTACAGATATGTGGCTTAGAAAAGATTTCTGTGATGACAATGTGTTCCCGTCTTTTGCCTGGGAAAAAAAAAATTAGAAGTTGCAATTTGCATGAGAACAGTGGAGAATATTCTTTAGACTAAATGACTTTAACATATTATCTTTTGAATGAGTTCAGTAAAACCAGATAAGCAGTTTAAAATTTAGCGATGAAACCCGACTTATTAAAAAAATGGGGATTCATACTCCCTTTACTTATATAAAAACATCAAAAGTTGTTTAAAACCTCAGTACCTAAATAACAATATAATAATAATAATAATAATAATAATAATAATAATAATAATAATAATAATAATAATAATAATAATAATAATAGAATCTTTTTCGGATAATTGAGATAAAAAAGCACTGTTTACATTTACAAAATTAAAATGGAAAAACAGGTTACATTTGCAATATATAATCGTATAATTAGGGTTTCAGGTTTTACTTCTTACTAGCCTTATAAATTCTTTCTAAAATATTATATGATTAGTAATTTACACAAATAATAATGAAAGCATTTTTTTAGACTGTTACAGTTGAGCACAAACTAATTCTGACCTCTGAAAGATTTAGAAAATATTTCTCTCTAAGGCTCATTGGGAAAAATAAAAAGGCATTTCTAAAAAAAAGATAATACAAGTATATAAAAGGAGCATACATTTTAAAATAGATTTTAAAATATTTTTACATAAAAAACATTTTAAAAATTATTCTGATTTTTTCTCAACCATCAGCGGAAAAATCTTCATCAGCGTTAAATTTGCTTTCTGAATGTTTATGCTGTTTTTCCGATGAGTTATCTCTACTGGTAAGTTTAAGGTTAGAAGAGCCCTTTGCCATCACCCTAATCTTCAGCTCGCTCCACACATTTTCCTTCAGATTGAGGTCAGGACTCAAAACTGAACATTGCCTCTAGCAAGAGGAAACATTCTGGTAAAGTTACAGTGCCGTATTGTAAAACTAAATCTGCAGGGAGTGCAGAGAAGATGGAGGATAACTATGCCTTGAAAAAACTCTAAAAAATATTAAAAAAATAAAACTAGATATAAAAACTTGCTCTGATGTAAGTCTGCTGCAATATCTAGGTTACCCAAGTCCATGAGCTATAAAAGTATAACAAAAAATCTGACAGATTTTACTAACCTTTTATTCCTTTGCATTCGATTTCCTATCTAGAGACTAAAACACATTGAAAATACGATCGTTTACTTGCAGGGCTTGTTATATTTCAACTGACGTCAGTAAACTTTGAGTAAAAACTAAAAACATGCTGCAGTTTCCTGCATGTCTTTAATCCGATGAAAGATTACAACCCATTTCTGCTTTAAAGCATTTCTTTGATCCCCACTTAAATCTAAACACAATACAACATATCTTTAATGATCCATAAATAGAATGAATTCAGCTTATAAGTTATAAATATTTATGAATCAATGAATTGCTAATTGGTGCATTTTACTTAAAGAGATAATAGAGTTTAAATGAAAGGTAGAAGGAATAACCAAAAATCTAAACCAAACTATTCTTCACTCCTTACTTGGATAAAATCTTTTCATAATAATATAATAGAAATATAATATTTTCCAAATTAAAATGGATTGACAGTTAATATGTTTTAAAAACCCATTTTAAAATCATATTTAAAGTGATGACATCATACGCATCTTGTAAAATAGATGTTACTAAATATGCTACAGACCAGCAATAAACATTACTTTACTTTAATATTCAAAAACCTTGCTAATAAAACTCAGATCTGGACACAGATTCACAGAAATATATTAACAAAAGTATCTGAATATTCTGGTTTATGATTAATGAATATAACCCTTTTAAAAACACTCTTTCTTTAGCTTTAAATGTAAAACAAAAAGGAGAAAAACGATTTCTCAGAAACTATGAATTATTCAATTAAGTAGTCTGATTTTGCTTAAGGAGATTCTTTTTTTTCCCATTTGTGTTTTTACTTCTTTATTTATATTTTTATGTATTCCTTTTTTTTCTAATTCCTCAGGCAGATTCTTTAAATGAATGTAGCAGTTCATAGCCTGATATTGTTTTTTTTCCTCTAGATATCAGAGCAAAAACAGATGGGAACTATTAACCTGCATTAATTACATCAAACTTATCTGGATGGATTTACAGAAAGCTGCAAGCTTTCATTTCAGCTGCAGAAAAAATAAATAAATAAAAAGAGTAGTCCACATTTCTGGATTAACTACAACTGAATAGTCTTGCTCCTGTAGGAATAACGCACACAAACAACCTTTGATTTGACTCTTTCTACCCACACCGATTAGGCTGAGCTCGGCGTGGCTGCTAGGCAACAATAATTCATGGGCTGGCAGTAAATGTATGAAAATATAACGGCGGGGTCTGGAGACTGAAGGAGACAGAGAGAAAGTAGGACTGCGATATAAAATAAGACTTTCCTCTGGAATAATCCTCTCAACTGCAAGACAGTTCAGATCTAATCAAAGTGAAAAATGTCTGAGTTTCATTTGCAATCCGTTGTGTTTCACATCATTCTGGCTCAACTTCTCATGTTTTTTTTTTTGCTTTGTTTTTTTTGAGCCGACTCCTCATATTACAGCAGTCACATTTAATATAGACATTAAGGAAACAGACTCAAGAAGTGAAAGATCACGAGTGGGAGGTGAGAAGTTTCAAACCTAATAAAAACAGGAGTAATCTTTATTACAGATTCTGTCGACCCGCGGCTCTGATCTGAACAGCCAGTTTCAATGACAGAGAAGTCTTGTGAATAGCTTTCATTTCTCTACTGTGTGACAACGTCTGTCACAGCCTGAATGTCACCACTAAAAGCAAGAATTTCACTTTACTGTGAAATGAAGACTTAAAATATGAAGCAAATGTCAGACGGAGCGGCTGCTGTGATCGGCCTTCAAACCGAACAGCGCTGCCCCAGGCTGTATGCTGTTGCACAAAGTTACGCTTAATAAAAAAAAAAAAGGTTTAAAAAAGAATTATAGTTAAACATCGCCGGAGGCTGCCGGCTTAAAACTGACGAGTGGCTGAAATTCTCACTGAGCCTCTAATGAGTGGAGTCGAGGGACATCTGACCAGAAAACACAGCGATTGCCCTCTTTAATGGGTCTGTTGTGTGTTAAAAGTGTGCTGGATTTTCTTTCTGTTAGAGAAGCAGAAGATAATCAGACTGAGAAGATCAAAGCATTAACCAAATCACTGCTAAAGAAGGGAATGAGGGTGATAATCTCAAACAATATGCAAATAATCTGGAACAATATGAATGTCAGTTTCTGCTGAGAAATAAAAAAAATAATGCAACATTTAATACATATCTGTAAAGCTAAAAGGTTAGAACTCATTCTAATTTGTAGCAAAATATATTCGTTATTTATTCGTCTGAAAACCCTCAGCTGAGGTTTGTCTTTACAGCTTAGAAACATACCGGATACACAAAAAACAGCTAATTAGAACGTTAATGAGGCTCCTGTTAAGAGATTGTTTTACCTACCGGAAGTAGCTCAAAGGAAAGGGTGTTTATATTTTTTAATGTGGGGGGGGGAAAAGGAAACGAAAAGCAATGAATCCTGTTTTGGAGAAAAAAATAGAACTGAATTATTTCTCATGTTTTATATTTTGAGAGATTTTCTTAACGTTATCTTTAACTTGAAGTAAGAGCTCTTTGCTAATTAACTTGCACTGATATTTAGAGAAAACAAGCAAGTTTGTTTCATTTTTAGTATTCTTTTTTTATTTTATTTTGCTGCATTAGCAGCAATATTTAAACTTCAAAATGAATCTATCTTTGAATAATCGAGGATTGCTCATAATAAAGAGATAGCTCCACAAAGTTTCACACTTTATAGCTTTTAATTTCCCAAAACTCCTTCACACATGAGTGACTTTGAATTAAAAGGTAAATCCACACATCGGAAAAAAATCGAAGTCATTTTTTCTTGAATTGAGGAGGTAAGTGAGGCACTTTGCCAATGGAATAAGACAACAAAAAGCAAAAACAATTGCATTTGTCTTATTTCAAGTGCATATTATCTATCTTATTTTAAGTGTAAAAATACTAATTCCATTGGCAAATCATCTTATTTACCTACTCAAATTAAGGGTAAATACACTTAATTTAAGAAATGTTGAGTTATTTTTAGATAATTTTTGCAGTGCATTGCTGAATTAAATATATACTCATATTTAAAACAGCTGTTGATTTTTTTTTACATAACATTTATTTCTCAGCTGATGCTTTATTGGTGTAACTGTTGCTAAGTTGAAATGTTTTAATTAATTTAAGTTATGGAAGTTTTTGTCTCCACATTGATCATTAAGTTCATTTAAATCTTATTTACTTTGTATATCACAAATAGTTCTTTAATAACATGTAAGACGACAACAAAAACAGGTTGTTTAACTCTTTAAAACGATTTATATAAATGTGTTTTCTATAAAACTTTCAGCCTTCTAGCAGTTTCTCATTAAGCAGATCAGCTACTTTGAATTTAACCTTTTTTTTTTATCAAAATCTTTTTGAATTTTAGCGAGAATAAACTTTAATTTATTTATTGACAGAAACTGAAATTGATTGAAATTTCAATCTGAAATAATTTATTTATAACAATTATTTTCAGTGTTTAATTAATAATAATAATACATATAAATAAGTCCAATTATGTTAGGGAAATATGCTGGTTGCTGTAGGGACTCATTAATTTACCAAATGAGTAAAAAAAAAAAGGCCTGAAATAATTTTTATCATAATTTTTTGCCATCTTGGTGAATCAGATCAGATCATGATTTGTTTTCATGTTACTGGTTACTGCTACTCACCACAGAGAGAGTACTGGTCATGGGTCCGCCATCCGGGCTGAACGACTCTCTGTCGCGGTTCAGCCCAGCGGCTCCATCCTGGCCCACAGAAACGCCGGGCAGGTCCATGCCCTGCAGCTGGTAGGGGTGGTTAGCAGCCGAGGTGGGCGGGGGCTCCATGGACTGATATTGTCTGGGGGACGCATCATGGGGAAGGTGAGGGGGCAGCATGTGGTCTGGCAAAGTTGGTGGAGTTATGGGTGGGATGTTGAAATCCTCATCACTGAAGCCGTTCATCGAATACGACTATTGAGAGGGGGGAGAAAAAATACAGTTAGGGGCAGATAGGACGGCTACTGCTTTGGCCCAGATGAGTGAATCTTCACCCATCTGGGACAAAGTCTCACTTAGAGCTTGGCTGGGTGGGCAAAGTTGCCTTCGGCATAGTGACAACTCTAAGAAAATCAATAGGAATCGCACAGAGGACTGCAAGAGACTCAAGTGTCATGAAACATTTTTGTCATAGATAATAGATAGGAGAGATGGTAAAAAAACTGCCCATTATAATTACCTCAGAGTTTGAATTCAGCCTAAACTACTCTGAGCTCTTTCATCTAGTCACTCCTCTTCAGTCTGAGCTCCGATCACACGCTAATCATCGCTAATCGCTTCTTATGACAGACCCCTTCTTTGAAAGAAACATTCTCATTCAGCTACAGAAAAATGCAGTCATTTTTATCCACGAACCAAAAAAAAAAAAGGAACAAATAACAGGCAGGCCCTTATTTAAAAAAAACAGCTCATCTGAGCTAATGTGACAAGCAGAAAGAAGAGCAGGAACCGTTGTGTGTGTGATTCAGAGAGCAAAGACATGTGAGGGAGAGACATGAAGAAGGAAATGGAGTGAGAGAATCATGCAAGAGAAGAGTGATGAAAAACACAGCAGAGAAAAGAGAAAGAAGAAGCATTCTCATACTGATCTGACAGAGGAGATGCTTTATAGAGACTGACAGCCTTTTCTGCTTGGCTGGCCACACCAGTCTCTCCATCTCGTTTTCTTTTGCCCCTCATCCCTCGCCGTCCTTCTCCTTCAGCCCCTCTGCTGTGCTCTTGCTCTTCTAATCTCATCCTTAATTTCTCTTTCATGTCTCACTCCTTACTTCTCCCCAGCTCTTTTCTGCTCCATGTCAACGCTGCATGCAGTGCTCAGCTGTAATTTGCATGACTTGGGAGCTGAGTTCTGAGTTAGTGGTTGAACTCTGTATATGCGATCACTTCGTATTTCACAGCTAATGTGCTGAAAGCGCAGTTAAGGGTGTTAAAATAATTAGAAGTGGGAAAGGGAAATAAGCCATAAACACTGCTAGTATTCAAAACTACTCAAACGTTTCTAGTAACAACCGCTACATTCAGCGTATCTTATTGGGCGTCTTGTATTAGCACATAGTTGTAGTGTAAAGAAATGAAATGTATTTTTAATGTTTTCTATCACTAAAAAAAACACCTTTAGTAGAGATTACAACTACAAGTCCTTATCTCACATTTCACCCACAGATGCTCAGTTGAATTGGGAGTGCAACAATTCAAATGTAAATATTTAATTATTTCTTAATATAAGTTCATTTTGTCTTGAATTGAGCAGGTAAGCGAGAAATTTGGAACAATGGAACCACATAATTTACATTTAAAATAAGAAAAAGAAATTGCATTGTCTTATCTCAAGTGCATATTATATAATTATCTTACTTTAAGAGTAAAAATACTCATTCCATTGGCAAATTATCTCATTTACCTACTTAAATGAAGGGTAAATACAATTAATGTAATAATTTTTCACTTATTTCTAGATCTTTTTTTTGCAGTGAACCATTCTGTTGCAGCTCTGTCTGTACATTTAGAGTCACTAATGCAATGGAGGATGAGCCTCTACAGTAGTTAGCCTCCAGTGATGTGCAGGTTTTTTTTTTCATCTCAACAGGGCAGCCCTCACCTGAGCTGCAGACCTCTGCAGCTCCTCCGCATTTAACCCTTTAAAGCCCAATCCAAGAATAAAACAAAACAGAAAATTACTTTTTTTGGTTTGAAGTCCTTATTTAGCCTTTTAACAAAATATGTAAAAAGAAAAAAACAGAAATACATTTTTGATATTAATAATTTATTACTATGAGAAAAAGTCAAGATTATTTTTTGTGTAGTCTTCTGCCCTCTGTTATCAGGTATATCTGATTGTGTACAATAGGATTTTGAGCAAAGTTTTTACCATTAAATTATGCAAAAGGTGTCAGATGCAAAACATTTCAGAAACCGTATGTATCAAATATGATACATTTGGCATTACAGGGTTAAAATGCATCTCTCTTCTCTCTGTCTGTGCAAATTAACAGCCATATTGCTACTGTATTCATCCTGGTTGCCTGTGTCACAATGTCCCAATTTTAAGGCATTACTTTCTTAACCTTAACCTGATTTACCCATAATTTACTCGCGTCTGTTGGTTTTCATGACAATTTTTGCTCACTGATGTTCTCTAACGGCTGAACTACCTCCTCAGCATGCTGCCTGGTTATATAGAGTCTCATTAACGACCTACAGTATTGAGCATTTAGAAAACTCATTTTCCTTAAGCATAACTATTTTGTGTTGATGTGCTAAATAACATCCCTATAAAACACCTGGAAGCATGAGGTTGGAAGAGGACAAAAACAGAGCAAGTTAATGCTACAAAGTTCACTTTTTTTTTTTACACCTTTAAGATTAAGCTTCAGCTACTGAAAGGAAAACTTAATTAATTTTATCCTTACAGACAAGCAATAGAGGCAGATGGTACACAGTACATTCCACAGGGTTAAATATGCAATGTTAAAGAGTTATTACAACAACAACTGGAGTAAGATATACACTATGTAGAGAGTTAATTTAACAATAGGGCTGCAACTAAGGATTATTTAGCAAATCGATTAATTTGACGATTATTTTTTCATTTCATCGATTAATAATCGGATAGTAAAAGGTTGCTTAAAGAAGATTTTTCATGAAATGAAACCAGGAGTTCTGCATAGAGCATACTGAGAAGACCAAAAAGATATTTATCTTAATTGCCAAATGTTTATATATTTTTCTAGAATCTTGGTATAATTACAGATATGTTTTAGAGTCTCTATACGCCAGTTACGATTAATCGATTACTAAATTAGTTGATTCAATAGGTGATTAATCCGATTAGTTGTTTTAATCCTATTTAACACTAATTTGCAGTGGGAACACTGCACTTGGGGTTAAATTTAACTCTTAAAGTGTTACTTTAACACTGCAAAATGTACTGTGTACTATAGCTACCTATATGTATCTATATACAGCATCAGCAGCTTCATACAGCTATAAATATGCTACACTAATGTATGTATCTCAGGGACATGAGGCATGTGTTGATTTTGATATTCCCATTTAGTTAACTTTGCTTCTAAATGCAGGTAATCAGCTAAATGTTACTGTGAGCCTGAAAGTCAACAATATACCTAAAGATACTTCCACACATACGAACAAGTAAATCTTTCACACAGACCCCTGACTGAGCTCTACATAAATTAAACTGCCTGTCTGTTTTCTGTCTGCCTCTTGCTCACCCCTCTCTCTCTTGCTCTCCTTCTCAATCATTTCTTCAACTTCTGCATAAATTACTCCTCTTCCTTGCAGCTCTCTCTGCTCCTCCATTCAAATCGCTACAAAAGCCTTTACTTGTGCACCGGGAGCTTCTAGAAAGACTAATGTAGTCAGGATTAAGTCCTTTCACACATGTTGTGTTCACATTAAAACTGAACTTCTCACACCTCCAAGCACAATATGGGAAAGCACATATTGATATGAGTAATAAGACAAAGATGGTGGTTTATACCTAACTGCGCAGGGAGTATGAGTCATCTATGAAAAGCAGGCACCTGCTGGTCATTAAATAACGTTTGATCAGATCACTTGGAAAATGTAGGTATATTTTTATTTTTAAACTGTTGTCATTTATGAACATGATTCTATAATCTTTGTACGTTTCCAAACAAGCTATTTTTATTTCTCCTTCAGATGTTTGGGACAGTTAATTATTGAATTAAACAATAATTATTTAAACTTTTTTACTTAAATATACCATTTAGTGTAATTCTTAGAGGACAACTGGAGGAGAAGTTGCAAAACTCTTCTTACAGAACAAAAAAACGCATTTAAAAAAGTACCACTAGTGCATTTTTGTGACTACTAACATGTCCTCGCTGATTGATCCTTTTCTAGTTCGATCAGAAAGTCTCAAATAAGATGCTGGGTTGTGAACGAGGACAGTCAATCATGAAAACTAGTGAATAAAAGAATAAAGTAATGATTTTTTAGGGATGGGATCCAAAGGATCAGATCAGGGATAATGATTAATAAAGGATTTTTATAAACCTTTGGAGTTCAACTATCAAAAATTAAATATTAAACTTCAAATTCTACTTTTAAAAACCATTATGTGAAAATGAGTTATACGCCTATTATTTCTCTACTCGCTTTATTCATAAATACACATAAATATTTATACATTTACACTGTCTAAATTAATAATTTATGGTTACAGGCATAATATATTCCCAGAAGCATAGAGGCATTTCTGGGAGCACCTCTGGGCTTCGCAGTGGGGCAGAGTGGGTCAGGGCTTGTAGTGTAAAAGAGGAGTTAAAGGAGCGGAGGCTAAGTGTGGAGAGGAGCGGACCGGAGCAAAACAGAGCCCCAAACACTGTAAAGTCATTCTGCTCTTGTTTGGGTGAGAGTTGAGCAGAGTGAAGGTGAAAAGATCATTGCTACGCCTTTATCAACAAAACGATTCGATTTTCAAAAATATCACATTCAGAATGTCTGGAGTGCTGCAGAATATAAGTATTGAATTTAATGAAGGAAAACAGAACAAGAACTAGAGAACACGAGGGTGCCGCTTACAGGCAGGGAGGAGTTCAACTTGTAGCTATCATCCTTTAACTTTTAAGTCTTGTGAAGCACATGAAAAGCTTATTAACATTTTTTGTCCATTTAAAGCCGACTGGAAGTGCATTTGAAAATGTATCTATTTTCTAACGCGTCATATTAGAGCAGTTCTAAAGAACTTTCAGTTTTGGTGGATTTTGGCTCCCCCAGTGGACAAAAGCTGTAGTGTTTTGTCCCTATGAGGACCAGCGCAAAGTGGTAAAATCCTGATTGAAAGGTCCCCTGCATTTCGACTGAACTACATTTGACGAATAGTGATGAGGTAACGAATCTAACTGTGGCGAAACAATGTCATAAGACGATGTAGAAAATGACAAACATTTAACTATGATTTTGTACCGTATTCCCGCACCGCTGCCCGTGTCAGCCCAATAAGTATTAAGTAGAAGTAAAATTACATAAGTTATGAAAATATGTTACGAGTGTTGTAAAGTTACTAAGTTATGGTTTAAAACAGAGGGCAAACAGGCTAACCCTATAAAAGCGAAAGATAAAGTGCAGTAACCAACACTAGTTGGGTCCTCCCAAGAGCCTCCCAGCAGAACATCAAGGAAAAAAGGCACGAATTTTCATTGGAATGAATGCAAAGTAAAAACATTAAAAAATGCTAATTCTAGTTAGTGCATTATTAACAAGACTTGAATTTAGTCTAGCTTGATTAGTCTTTTGGAAACTCTGACAGAAAACTGCACCCATGTCAATGAGTTTTCATTTGGTCTTTCAGATGAATAGAGCTGCAAAACATATGGTCATTATGGTCAGATCAACTAAGAATTGGTTCACCAGCCAGAAACTTAACCTAATAATTTCCTTTTAAAGGCCTTAATCATTTAGGAAACTTATTGGGTTGGCATAAAACCTTGTGGACAGAGGAAACCTAAACAGCCTCAATTGTGAATACCCAGTGCTGCACTGTCTTTAGATGGAGCTTTTCCATCAATTAAATCCAATGCAGCTAAAGACGAGACAATCCTAAACGCTTTAATGTGGAATTTTGCACAGATTATGTGCGTTTGCCTCTTTAACTGAAAACTATTATGTTTTTCTGGGTGTGTTCAGCTGAGGTAAAACATTAGGTATGAATAAGCTCCTTTATGGCCCAGAAAACAACAGCAGACGGTGTGTAAACTGCAGAGCTTTTCAGGATCAGTCTGTCACTGTTGTCTCCTCAAGGCAAAGTACATGATGTTACCACTTTAACACCTCCTTCACCTGCAGGCAAACAATGTTAAAGTGATACTTCTTTTTCTTAACCCTGACAGCTCTGTTCCTGCTAACCTAAATTCATGAATGCAGCTAACCAGCATCTCCAGGATCTCTGCATAAAAACAATAATTCAGCAGAAAAATATTAAACTATTTTATTTATTGCAATTCTTAGCCAACATCTTTAGTTTTAAATAAAAGTGTATGTCTTGTATTTTGAGCAGGCAAATGACGCAGGATGAATTTTAAGGTACAACGAAGTTTACAGCTCAGCCTAGACGACGCAGACTTTTGTCTTCAAAGTGACGCCTACATAAAATCTAAAATGTTACCCAAGTTGGAGCCAGATGAAAGCTAAATGTGACTACAACTGAAAAAAAATACCATAAATCTGGAGGAGAGGGAGAAAGTTTCTTAAAAGTTTATGTGATTTTCTGTGCAGCTGCATTGTGGATAGTGTAAGTTTTAATATGTTATAAAACATAAAATAAAATGATTATATTTCCAATTTAACGGTAATTCCATGACTAAACTGCAAACCTGGTTTGGGTTCAATATCTTCAAAAACAGAATCAGGAGCCAGAAACTGCAGAACTAATGCTGCAGATGCAATCAAACTTTCATTAAGCGCTAAACTTGTGATGCTTCAGCTTTTATATTCCCAAACGGATCAGAGTCTGATTTAAGCTGCAGGTTCAGAGCGGAGCCCTGTCTGTATTTTTCATATGCATGCGTGTGGGCGCTCACCCAGGGCAGACGATGACCGTCGGCCATGTGAGGGTCCCTCCGCCACTGCTGTGATGCCGGGTTCTGTGGCGTCACCTTGCTGAGCGGGTGTGGGGGCTGCGGCACACGAAACTGTGGGAAGAATCACAAAGACAAACAAAGAGGCAAAGTGGGCCCAGGGTCAGTCGATAGGTCAGGGGTCAAACACAAAGGTCGTGTAGAGGAGTAAATACAAAATAAGAGAGGGACACATTCTGCATGCAAAGCACACAACCAGACACACACATTAAACTTAAAGATGGGTAATATCGGCCTGAAATCTGTACTAACAGCTGTGACTCTCTTTCAGAAGGACGATTAGAGGCAGTAAACAAATTACTTGCCTGTTTCCTGCACGTAAAATGCCTTAATTATATTACATACAGCTCCAGAAAGAGAAAACAAACGCAAACCCACGCGAACAAAGCAATCGTTCAGGCGGATGTAAAAGAGAGTGTTGGAATCGTGCTTTTATCTCCACCATCATCCTGGACCTCAGTCACACTGGTGTTGCGGATGATGCATGTATTTTACTATCGGATGGGAATCTGGGCAGCCTGCAGTTTCATTTCAAAATGTTAAATGCTCTGCTGTTCCAAAGTATTCATACTCTTATGCATACTGATTCTCATTTTGTCACATTCTGGCTTTGATGAAAGAGGAAAAAAGCCACTGTTGGAAAAAGCAGTATAAACATGCAGATTATTAAATGTTGTCTTGGATTCCCCCTTTTTTCCTGTTGAATCTTTTCTTATTGTCAGTAAAGAGTTTCAGTTTTTTTCTACTAAGAGGCCTTACCTTTTTAAGCATTCTAAAACCAAAACCTTACAAGTCGTTATCATCATGGGCAAAGAGAGGCAATAGTTGTATAATTTGGTTTTAATGGCATGCATGACTAAGACAGAAAGGTCAAAGTGACTAAACATCTTGTTTCCTTTGAAAATAAAAAAGAGCACGGTTTGCATCCCAGCCAACCACAGGAACACCCCTGCACACGTGCGCTCAAGTCATCCACGTACTGTTTACCTCTGCTTTTGTTTTGGGTTTTTTGTTGTATTTGTCCTCTTTATGTCTACGGCCTCTATTTGAGTTGCAACACAGTTACACCTCTCCTGCTGCATTAACAGGTAATAAAAGCAACCAATTGGACTCAGTCTGGACTCAAATTGAGCTCATTCTTCGTAACAACCTCTGACTTTATGGAAGAAACGGTACTTCAGTAATAAAGCCATAAATTCTCATTCCCCTCACTGCTCCCCATCTTCTTACAGAACAACACTATGAATAAAACATCAAATCATTCGGGTTCTGTGCTGCACAATATTCTCTATATGCTTCTCTATGAATAATGTAGTGGTGGAGCTTATTAATATAGGCTTTCCTCGGCGGTGAGGTAATTCTGCACCCACAAACAAAAGTCGTATCTGCTCTGATGCTTGGCCAGTGCGAGCTGCAACCTGAACACCGGTTCCACTCACAGCCGTATGAAAACTGTTTGCTGCACGGTGCATCTCAGAGCTGTGGCCGAGTAATGTAACGGCAGTAAAGCTTTACAACAGCGACAACATGCAGAAGAGATTTACACCACCCTGCACACTTATTAGCCTTAGAAATTCATATTCACTACATTAGCATAATCCCACGGTGAAAAGATTTGATGCAGGTCAGAAACAGTGATATTTCCCTGACTGTGCAATGTAGCAGAATTAACCTGCATCCTTTTTGGCCACAGTTAGATTTATTTTTCAATCTTTGCATCATTATAATGGTTAGATATTTGGAAATATGTAGGTGAGCTTCTTTCTTTTGAAGGAGTTTCACTATATGTCGTGATAAAAGTGGTAAAAAGAAATTACCCTCATTTAATCTGATGTGTAGCTGATGAAAAAAGCAGGTTTTGTGAACTTTTCCTGTAAACTACCAATAAATTATTACTATAAGAGGTCCCAGTTCATGTCTCACCAGTTAATTTATCTCAAACAATCAATACTTATCATGTTCCTCTCCCCCCTTACTAGTTAAATATACTTAAGGAGAATAATCAATGAAAGGGTTTTTGAATATCTTTAGCAGGAGTTCCCCAAATGCAGATGTTGCTGAAGCTTTATAATATGAAGGCTGCGTTCTCTAATGGAAATTTCCCTCCGTTTTCCATAAGCAGCTCATTCTCAAATGTCACACAAATATGCCTGGCAGAGAAGCTTGTATCACTTCTAGCTGCTGGAGATATCTCAATGTTATATTTAGCTTGTTTCCAGATGATTTAGTCACGTTATTTTGTTTACTTTGTAATGATTTACTCTCAAACGTAACCAGTTTCCTAACAAGCTGCTGTGGGAGGATGACATACTAGTCTTAAAGAGAATAGAAACTACAACCCTGCATATATATGCATTTTTAAGTTATAGCAAAGACAGTTATACTCTAAATGATTAAAATTGGGAAATTATCAAATCTTAGCCCCAAGCTCCAGGGTTAGAGATGTCAGATTGTTAGTTAATCTATAATACGTCAATCATGTCTTTGATGTGGAAAGTGACTTTTTTATTTAAAGTGAGCTTTTAAAAATACTAGTTAAGCTATGTGTTATTTTGATGCCTTTTCATGCTATGCCTGTGGAGCTTCAGCTGCACCAGACCTCAACCTGCAGGGCTTTGGTTTCCACAGAGGTGCAGCAAAGAAATATCACAAGAAAATCACTTGGGAAAAAAAATATACTACAATCCAGACTTAGATAAAGACACCACTTCTGGGCTATGAGTGCTTTTAGCTAATTATGTGACATATCCACAGGCTTTTATATGAACCATAGCCTTTTTTTTGGCTTTAAAGCTACCCAACAATGAACTGAATAAAGGTACAATTAGTTTTTTTGAAGAGCGTCCTTTCAAGTCTGAATTTTAGTCATTTCCCAGTCGATGAGCATACGGTGTAGCTCGGCAGTCACAGAAGCGCGGCGGCTCTCTCTTAGTGAAAGAAATGAGAGTGGTTGGGAATCGAAGAAGGCTGCGTTGCTTCAGGTGCCTCTGCTTAGGAACAGTAAGTGATATTGATTCATACAGCAGAATGAGGAGGAGGTTTGTTTATTGTAACTGGAAGTAAGACTGCAGATAGCTAAAAGCTGGAATCAAAAGGTAAAAGGATGCTTGATTAAGAACAAAAATTACCCCTCTGTAGCATCAAGGATTTGATTTATCTGTCTATGAATATTTATAAAAATGATGTGTTCATTTTTTGTTTTTATTTTTTTGCTTTTTCAGACAGGTTCAAACAGCACACTCTTCTGCCAAGTGTCAAAGACAGCTTCATTACTCAGGACGGGATTTCCCAAAAGGAGCTCTTCTACTGCTAAATCGACATTTAACAGCATGAATGTGGATAAAGGCCAGAAAGAGAGCTCATATCAGACAGCTGTAAACCCCCAATGGGTTACCTGTACGTTTTAACATTGGATTTTGTGTTCTTTTTATCAATTATAAAACATACATGGTGATATTCTAACGCGTGTTGTAATAAAACTAAAAAGTAGAGCCAAAAACCCACAGCGAGCCCTTCCTGATGACCTGAGAGGGGGATGTTTTTAAAAGCAAAACTAAGACGTGTCTTTTTTATGTAGATGGAAAATGGCTTCCAGCAAATGAGAATAATTTATGGTGATTTAATTTATCTTATCTGAATTATAGCTGTAGTTCCATTAAAGACAAAAAATATTCAGAAAATGTTCAGTAAAACTTCTTCACCTTTTGACGGGTATGTTGCTTTACTTTTCCTGAGCAAGGTACTTTAATTTGTTTTTTTATATATATTTCTTTAAAAAAAAAAAAAAAAAAAAACAATATTCACAAGATTAATCATTAAGTAATTTTTTTTAGTTTATTTTTACTGTTTAAGTTTGGTTACTAGTTTGAATTGATTGTTTTCTTTAAAGGGAGGGCATGTAAACGTTCAAGCAAAGCTGTAATTCGCTCTGTGTTGCACCCTCTGTGTACAAAAGAGTCGAAAGCTTTAAGATTAACTGATTCATTGCTGCCTGCAGAGGACTCCTAACTTCTGACAGACACTTAAAATTTTCCATTACTCACTAACGCAAAAAGGAATTTTCCTCCTTTCTGAAGAGACCAAAAAGGGAAAACAAAATGTACAAATTGCTGGTGGGAAAGTGGAGAAAATAAGTTCTAGATGATCATTAGTTATTCATTTTGTGAAAAGGAAAACATTTAGGGAAAAAAAATAGATTTATTTTCAGCTACTGTGTGAGATCTCTCTTGATAGTTGGCATTTCTGTTTCCCATTTAATTATTCACCGTTGATTTGGGATAGTCTACCAAGGCTCTCAGGGTTTTAAGAATACAATTTGGAAACAAATTCTGTGAATTTATTTTTCGTGAATCAATATTCTGTTCATATCACTTTGAGTGGTTTCAGTTTGTTGTATTTTTGTGTAGTTAATCTGTTTGTAAACTATGATGTGATCAATATGGGTTCATGGTTCTTATGCTCCATTTACATTACCCCTCTGAAACCGATCCTGAGCTAGGATCAGTTAACCGTGCCGCGCTTGGTTCCTTACGACCATTTACACATCACTCTAACATGGCTCCTCGCCTCCTATCGGAGGTTCACACCATTACAGCTCTCAAGGCGGGAATTATGCAAACAAAAATGGCAGCACCCATAACAATCAAGAACGTACGTGCCTGGATAGCGTCCTCCGCCCTAATTTCAATGAGAGCCTCGGTCTCGGCATCATCGTAGGTCACACCCCACTCTTTTGATGCCATTTATTCTTAATAGGCAGAGTCAGCTGACTGTAAATAGGAGATGACGCGGTCTGAGCCATGCAGAGCCCTACTGTTGAACTAGGACTAGATCAAGCACGGTTCTGTTCTGTCTGATACAGTCCAGTTCAGTTGCAATTCATTTACTCTCAACAGTTATCTCGGTTAGTATTCTCGAACCATTCTCGGCAGGGTTTCAAAAGGCTAGTGTAAATGTGGCTAGAGTTAGCCCATTTACTCTAATCTAAGCCAATATTGTATATATCTTAATGTCATACATCAAAATACTACATAGACATTTCCGTAAACAGAGGTTGTCAAATATTGCATGTACTGTTGGTTTAATCAAAAACGTTTTTTAATATCATGTTGCAACTTTTACAATTTTTCAAACACGTAGCAGCTTTTTTCATTCCTTCATTTCTTTTTTGCTATATGGCATTTTGTTTGCCGCCTGACCCGTCAGATGTAATTTCTGCTGTTAAAACCTTGAAACTCAGAAAATCAGGTTTTTACGGAAAAACACACCAAAAGCCTCATCCGTACATTAAAACATATTCTCCGGATTGTTAGATTTACCAACAAATTATAAACACCTCTTTTTTTGGTTGGTGATATAAATTGGCCACAGACAGGCCAAGCACATAACAAAATATTACTTTAGAAAATATGTTTTCATGTAAAAGGAAAAAAAAGGCTTAAACACCTTGACGTTTACATGTACCTAACTATCAATCTGCTTTAATTTGCATGTGTAAGATAAACTTAAGTGTGGAGGGAACCAAAACTGTCTCATCCTGTTGGTTTTTAAAATGTTTAGTAGTAATTCACAGCTTACACAAGATGTTTTTTGGAGCACACACCTTCTTTGCCTCACACGCTCCGAAACAACAACACACTGCGTCACAGACACTAACCTGATTGGTGGAGGGGAAGTCGAGGCCTGCTTCTGGCATACCCAGGAACATGGTGTCCCCATCCAGCTGGAGAGAACAAAAGCAAGAGAAACAACGTCAACAAACTGAAAAATCAAACACAGCAAACAGAGCAGCCAGCCTCCGGTGAGATGAAGGTACCAGATTAACTGGCAAGCAGTCACACCATTTTATTTCTGTTGTCTTCATCTGACACTAGAAGTGCTCTAATTATCCAGGTCTCACCCAGAGATGTTTGGAAATTATCTAATAAATATCTTTGTAACACTAAAGAGTGAAAAATGACACAAATGCTCAACAAAGCTAGAAAACTGTTGTACATTGAGACGGGTGAAAAATCTTTAGGGCATACACATAAACATAGACATTATGGATTCCTTTTTTCAACTGCAGTATTTTAAATTTTTTTTTGACCTGCAAAAAATACATTTCTTACTAAGAGTCAGTGCCCTGTATGATGGGGACACCATAGTTGGTTCTTACAGTCACTCCACTGGGTGTTAATTGAAAACAGGATATTATCTTTATTTTGCAAACTAGCCGCACATAACGACCCATTTCTTATAGCTTTAACAGGACATTTTTCTTATTATACAGCATGACCTTTACCAAACTTCCTCTATTACCGGAACCACACTTCCTCCTTTTTCATTAGTTTTAACTTGTCCAAAGGTTTGAACCTCACATATCAAAAGCAACCAAGGCTCATTAAGAAGGTTTTAACATACGGCATAGAAAAATGTTTTTATACTACTGTTTGGCTTTTTTTTTTTTTTTTATCCCGATAACCTATATAAAGCCAGTACCATGTTTAAATAAAACAAACTCATATAAAAAGTTATTTAAACAAATAAATGCCTTTTTTTGGGTATTTCTGTCCAGAGCCTTTAAAAATTATGTTAGGTCTCTTTTGTATAAAATAATCTTCATCATATTTGTTGATTTTATTGGGAAAAAAAAGAAAAAAGAAAAAAAAAACAAGCTCCAGTGCCTCTTCAATGTGGTCTTAACACTATCTGCAAACTGTCCCGGTCAGAAACAACCAATCAGAGCCAGGAAGAAGTTAGGAGTTAATCCTGAATAAAGTGTATCATCGATGTTTCATCCCCTACCATTAAAAATGCGATTGCTGTTTATCTGACGTTTTCAGTGCCCTGTTTACAGCAGGCTCTTCTATGGAGGAGGGGCTGTAGTGCAGGTGATAGTGAAGTGGGGACCGGCAAGGTGTGCCTGATCAAATTTTGTGGCTAAGTCCACGGTTTTCTCAGAACTCTCTACTGA